ATAGAGTAATGATTTGAGAAAAACAAAAGCTGTTCATGTCTTTAGTTTCTCTAATATTTGTAACATTCTTTTTTTTTTAAATTTTTTAAATGTTTATTTATTTTTGAGAGACAGAGTGTGAGCAGGGGAGGGGCAGAGAGAGAGAGAGAGAGAAAGACACAGACTCTGGAGAGGCTCCAGGCTCTGAGCTGTCAGCACAGAGTCCAACGCAGGGCTCAAACTCACAAGCCGTGAGATCGTGACCTGAGCCGAAGTTGGATGCTTAACCGACTGAGCCACCCAAGTGCCCCTATCTGTAACATTCTGGTAATCTTAAAGTTAAGTCCATGAAGGTGTAGGGTGAGTGGAGAATACCATAGAAATAGCCACCAAATACTGGAGTACACAAAACAGAACAAAACAACATTAATATTATTTATTTTGTTTTTATAGTTTCATAGAGAAATGATGAATAGCTGGAGTATCCACAGCTTTTTTTTCCCCTATGGAAGAGAGCCCCTGGATGGAACATTATATTCTTGCTTATTTCAAGGAGGTGGAAGACAACCTTCATTTACCCTGCCTGGGGTAATTGCTCATGTCAACTGGGCAGGTAGCTAAGTACGCAGCACCCGTCCGCACAGGCAGGCAGGCGTGAGCCCAGAGCACTCCTCACGAGAGTTGTTGAGCATGCAGGTGTCTGATCTCTCTGCCAACACTTCTGATTAGGACACTCAGTCAAACTAACAACCCTCCTGCGTGCTTCAGGGCTTTTCCTTCTTCTATTATTTATTTTTTTTTTACCGGCCCCTTTCGGAAAACTCGTGGAAAGAAGGCTTTGGTGACCTTTTACCATTTTAACAGAGAATAGATTCCTTCTTCCCATTTACTTCCAGGCCATTCTTCTCTCTCCTGCCTGTATGAGACTTCACCTTCTTTTTTCAGTATCCCTTGCCCGGCGCTGCCCCCCACCTCACTTCCCTGCAATCTCAAGTGTCAGTGTGGCAGAAGACTGCAGAATTTGGCTTGAACTCTCCACATAATCAGACCATGCCAGCCTTTCCTCCTTTTCCTCCTTCAGCTTCTCTTTTTGGGGAACAGACTGGAGATCTGAGGTCTCACTGAGCTTTGCTTAACAGGCAGAGTTGCCTGTGATGATAGCATTTAACTAGGAAGATTTAGAAAGTGAAACATGCTTGTCTTTTCCCAGCATAAGGTTTTGCTTCCACAAAGCTTGAGAATGAAGTTTACAGGGAGCTAGAAATTTCACTAAGCCAATCCATGTTTCCTACATTTGCCCAGAGCTTTGGAGTCATTAACATGTTCAACATTCCCACAAAGTAGTGCTGAATTATATTATTAATCATATCAGTAACACTAGGTATTTTCTGCTGTTCAAGGAGAAGTAAATATAAACATACACAAATAGTAGAGGGCAGAATGAGGTTATTCTGCTCTTCCTCATACCCCATCTCTGGATGTAGGATTTCACCGTGTAAATCTTATTATAGCACCAATTTCCTCTGCACCCTCCCCTGGTATCCCAGTTCAACAAAAGTTAATTTCATTAATATTTTTAAAAATTTATGTTATAATGATCACATATGTTTATTCTCATTTAGTCTAAAATTATGCCAGCATTCTGTTAAGGAGGTGCACACTTAAATAAACTTCAGCTGTCAACTTGTTTATTTCCCAAGTTCAAGTCTTCCTGAGAGATGAGGCTAGCAAGGTAGAGTATTCATGACTCATTCATCCAATTATTCATTCTTTACAAGAAACATTGGAGGCTAGGGTACAAAAATAAATAAGACATAGTCCATGCTCTTGAAAAATGTATAATCCCCAGGAGCCTTTTCGTTCATTAATTCACTCAGCATTGCCTGATTATGTTCTTCAGGTGTTCTCCCTTGCAGAATGCTCTGGCTCTGTACCAGAGTTACCTATGGAGCTTTTAAAAATTACTGTTGGGGCACCTGGGTGACTCAGCAGTTAAGCTTCTGACTCTTGATTTTGGCTCAGATCATGATCTCACAATTGCCTGAGTTCGAGCCCCATGTTGGGCTCTGAGCTGACAGTGTGGAACCTGCTTGGGATTCTCTGTCTCTGTCTCTCTGTCTCTCTGTCTCTGTCTCTCTCTGCCCCTCCCTGACTTGCACTGTCTCTATCTCAAAATAAGTTAACTTAAATAAGTATAGCTCAGGCCTCACCTGAGCAGAATATCCAGGCATCTGTTCTATTTTAAAGCTTCACAGAGGATTCTGACCTACAGCTAGTGTATTGAGAGCACAGTTTATTGTGAAATTTAGTGTTTCAGTCAACACATGGCTCCACCTCAATTCTACATAACCTTGTATTTTATTCACCATGTTTTCTCTGTTATTCCCTGTGATGTTCTGTTTTTGAACCCTAGCCACTGTAATTTCTACAGGTTCGGAAGCTCCAACACTGAAGTTGTCCAGGGGCAGGTAAGACCAAGTTGCCACTAAATGCTAAAGTTAGTTTATTGGTTCAGACATCACCCATTTGTTCTGGTTCCATAACAGTTGCTGCTTTTTCTGCTGTGACTGAAATCCTGTACATCTATTCGTGTATTTTCCTTGAGGCAGGAGAATGCAGCAATATTATCCAAAGAGAGCACAGATCCAAATGTGAGTTAAATATAGTGACAGGAGCCGTTTCATGATGGCTTGTTTTAGTTGTGAAGTGGGGACTCTGTTTTCTTGCTGCCAAAAAGAAACTGGCCTCATCTTCCTGGTATGTCTGCCTGGTATGTCTATCACAGCCTTACCAGTTTATCAGTTTCCTCTCACTTATGGCCTCTCATTCCTCCATTCAGTGAATATTTATTGAATACTTATATCAGGCACTGTGTTAGAGCTGCAGATATAATGATGAACAAAATAGAAGTGGTTCTATCCTTTGAGCCTTCCTCAGAGAAAATATAGCTTCTTTATCTCTCCAGTATCTTAATAACCTTTCCCTGGAGCTCCTACGCACTGATTAGCAGGGGAGACAAATTACCTGAATATCCAGCCTGGTCTGAAGTTTAAACTGATGCAGTAATTCAAACACTGCTTTGCAACAGTGTCATAAGTGATGGACCTATCTGTCTTAGGGTCTTGGGGGCAGCAGTCCTCGTCCACACAAGTGCTGCTTGCTCTGCTGGCATTTAGAGCTGAAGTCTCTGGCTGCAGGTTGCTTGATCAGAACCCAGTAGCACTCTGGCTGACTGGGCTTCTCCTTGGCTTCCACAGGTTGCACACCCTTGAGTCTGTGCTGCATCTGCTGTCCACTTCACCCTCTTGTAATCGCTTAGTGTTCATGCCTTAAGGGAACTGTGAGAGCTCAGGAGACATAAAACTCAGGATCGTCTCTGCCAGTCCTTCTGCAACACTGAGTCACTGTGTCTCTGTCCCATGTTGTGGTGGAGGCCACCTTGGAGTTGATCTTGTCCCAGAATCCCAAATAGACATCAAGAAAGAGCAGGCATTCAGCTGTTGCTTTCATCCTCACTTACTGAACACACTGATTTCAGGAAGTCAGGGCTGCTTTGCTGCCCTTCTTCCCATCTCCCAGAGTCTGGAAGGACTGGGCTTTCTTTTGACGGTATATCCTCCTCCTTCCATACACCTAGTGTGGCTGAATAGTTGGGTGGAGTATCTTCTCTGCATTCTCTTTTGTGTAGGCTTGGTGGTTGATAAAGCAAAGGGAGAAGTAAAGGATTTTGGACAGTCCTCTCTTAAGACAACTTGGCTTGCAAGGCCCCTGTCTTCCCGCACATTGTAGATTATATTGCTGTATGCAGACGTTCATTCTCCCTTCCTGTTGCCATATCACTTGCAACACCTCTAATGCAAGTAGTACACATTCTTGGCCTCTTGATATGGGTCTTAGATATGACAGACTTCAGCCAGTGGCATTTGCGTGGATGTGATAGAGGCTACATCTGAACAGAACCTTTGGGAGTCAATGTAGGTTTCTACCAGCCCTGTGGCCCTATTCCTTCTGCCATGAGAATGGCATGACCAAAATAGGGGCCTCTTTTGTAAGCCTGGGTCACAGGATGAGAAGATGCATGGAACAGCAGTAAAGCTGACACTGATCTGCAGCCAAATGTAGCGATGCAAGTGAGAAATAAAATTTTGTTGCTATAAATCACTGGGATTTGGGGGTAGCTGTTACTGCAGCAAAGATGAAATATAAACTCCATAATCTTTTGTATATCAAAAGCCAAATGTCACTTCCTTCTTTATTTCTATTTTCTTTCTCTAATAAATCATAATCTGTCCCCAAGCAGATGAATGCCTTGAGCCAGATTGGGTGAAGGTTACTCATTCAGAAAGGCAAAAGCATAAAGCATCTTAATTCTTTACAAAATATCACCATGTTACATAAAGAGAGGAACTTCATACAGAAAATAAACTGTGCTTTTTGGTTTTTATTATCACATTTGTTTTATTTTGGTGTATTGTTTTTGCTCTGAAAGGAAGAAGGAATCCTCATTGTATAAGTAAATGGTGGCATATGCTATAGCATATGACAGCACATCCAGGTGAAAATTAGAAAGTGTTTATTAAAAGATAGTATCATTTTGAGGTTATGGTATTGTTATAGAGGTATAATCTAGAGGAGGCACTAACATCATTCAGGTAGATAAGTTCTGGGTTGTGATCCCAGAGTCATGGTCCACATTTTGTGCCAACCATAGAATCCCTCCTGTCCTTAATTGTTTGGATGCAAGTAATTTAGCTCAGATTCCAACAAACACCAAGGATTCTTGCTATTTTTTCATTCTGTTGTATTTTGGGAATTTGAAAGGATGTAAAACTTATTTAGTTGTGAATGCACTTGTTGCTTATTTACTTATGCCAGAGACACATAAAAGAGCTGGTAGACAATGAGGAAAGAACTGTTGGTCCCACAGTGATCATTTTAGCTATGTCTGTGCAACACATGGTAATCACCACCAGCAGATACATTTGTTTAAAAAGTAAGAAAAATAGAAGGCAGTTGAGGAGGAGGGAGCGATTAGAAGGGGGGAGGGGGGGGCTGGCTTGGCGTGCACTCCAGACCTCGGGAACGTTATTGTGCGTGGAACGGCTGATTTTGGAAGACTATTGCCCAGAAGAAAAGATGTTTGGTTTTCACAAGCCAAAGATGTACCGAAGTATAGAGGGCTGCTGTATTTGCAGAGCTAAGTCCTCCAGTTCTCGATTCACTGACAGTAAACGCTATGAAAAGGACTTCCAGAGCTGTTTTGGGTTGCATGAGACTCGTTCAGGAGACATGTGTAATGCCTGTGTCCTGCTTGTGAAAAGATGGAAGAAATTGCCAGCAGGATCACAAAAAAACTGGAATCATGTGGTAGATGCAAGGGCAGGACCCAGTCTGAAGACAACATTGAAACCAAAGAAAGTGAAAACTTTATCTGGAAACAGGATAAAAAGCAACCAGATCAGTAAACTACAGAAGGAATTCAAACGTCACAATTCTGATGCTCACAGTACCACCTCAAGTGCCTCCCCAGCTCAGTCTCCTTGTTATAGTAACCAGTCAGATGATGGCTCAGATACAGAGATGGCTTCTGGCTCTAACAGAACGCCAGTTTTTTCCTTTTTAGATCTCACGTACTGGAAAAGACAGAAAATATGTTGTGGGATTATCTATAAAGGCCGTTTTGGAGAAGTTCTCATTGACACACATCTATTCAAACCTTGCTGCAGCAATAAGAAAGCGGCTGCTGAGAAGCCGGAGGAGCAGGGGCCAGAGCCTCTGCCCATCTCCACTCAGGAGTGGTGACTGAGGTTTAGGTAGAAGGGGAACAAAAAAACGATTTAAATTTTGGAAAGAAAACAAAGCAACAAAACCCTCCTATTTTTAACTTGGATACCTGCTATTCTGCCAAAAGACACTTTCTAGAATAGTTTTGAATGGGTTGTTATTTCTCCTCCAGTTCCACAAACTCTGAAGCCAGTGTCTAGCTTACTAAAAGAAAAAAAGTGTACATAATATTTAAGATGCTGAGTATTTCATAGGAAAGCTGAATGCTGCTGTAAAGTGCTCTTTAAGTCTTTTTTTTTTTTTTAATCCCCTTCTAATGAATGAATCTAGGGGAGTTTCAGGGGACAGAGATGGGATTTGTTGTATGATAAATGTATGTAGTTTTAGTCTTTCTATATTGAGAAGCAGTGGTTGGGGCATTTTTAAGATGGCTGGCTATACTTGTTTTCCTTCATGATAATAAATTTGTCATAACTCAGTAACGTGGACTTGCCCCAAGAGGTAGTTGTTAATAATTTAAGGTCTTGCCAAGGTTCTGATGATTCAAACCTGTACTACTGAATATTAATCAGGACAGACTAAGCTCTCTGGTGCAAATGCCTTGAAGGAGTAGTTTCTAAACATACAGAGAGGTAACTTGAGTGTATATGTTGCATCCTCTGTCACCTCCCTCCATATTCATTTTTGATAAAGATTTTAATCTATATTGAAACTTCTAAAGCAGAATCAAAGCTCCTCTGGGGAAATGTCAAGTTTTAGGATGAGCAATCCTAAATGAAGAGAACCAAAGCATTACCTCATGGTAGAGATCACATTCTATTAAAAATGTTAAATTATCTTTAAAAATGTACAAGTCTTCAGGATGGCACACACAAAAAAACAAAGGTTAATGCTTCTTGGGGCACATTTCTTAGAGGGCTTGCTTAGTGTGTAAATAATTGACTTTTGTTTGTGTTACATGACTGGTGACTTCATTGAAAATCTGCGCAATTCAGTTTTAGCTCTGGATTACTTCAGTTGACCTTTGTGAAGGTTTTGTCTGTGTAGAGTGGTTGTTTGACTGGTTTTAACCTATTAGGGTTTGGGGGTTTTTTTTGTTTTGTTTTTTTTCCACTCTATATTAAAGTAAAATTCTAAAAGAAAAAAAAAAATAAAGAGTAAGAAAAATATAGTAGCTTTTTTTTCCCCCTTTAGAAATGCTTAAGTTTCCACTGGATCGAAGTGACTAGAATTTCCTTGCTGCTGTGCCAGGGAAATGCCCCTGCTGCCTTTTCTGGTTTTGTATACAGAACTGCCCGCCATTTTCTGTCTGAGAGAAAGCATTTCATTATGTTCAAACCTGGGGTTTTCTAAGTAAAAAAAGTAACAGTCCTAACCAGATACTTGGTAGTGATGAAAAATTTTGTGTGTGTGTGCTGGACAAAATTTATAGCTGGATCTGATAACAGATTTGTAAGTCAGTTCTGTCGTGAGTAAATTATACACAAAAGAGAACACCTAATCATTTTTAAAGTAATTGATCTTTTTCTATAAATTTGGAAAGAAAAATCTATTCATAGATAGAATATGAAGAATACAGTAATAGATATGCTAGTATATGCTAATATAGCCAAATACTGTTTTAAAATATAAGTAGATAAAAAGTAGACAGTTAAGTGGAGCACATTTTGTTCAAGACAAAACGTGCTGAGTGAAATTTGTTTTATTCAGACAACAAAGTTAGGCTGACAATGATTGCCTGGGCCTATATAAGCAAAGTCAACGAGTAAAGGCTGTACTATTTCTAGGTCAGACTTTAGAACTGATCCTGTTTAAAAAAGAAAATCAGAGCTTGCTTCTCCCCAGAGAGGCAGTAAGTGAGCAGCCAACAGCCCTGGCTCTCCAGAGTAGTAGGCCCTCGTGTGTCACTCATTTGGCATCTATATCTATTTGCTTTCTCTATTCCACTCACATACATTATCCCTGTTCTCTTAACATACCTTTCTCTGGGTAATTCATCCACTGATCCTATGTACCAAATTTTATTCCAAAGCCAACATTTCATATTTATACTCAGAATATTAATTAGGTCATGAGTTACCTTTTAGGGCATAGACTACTCTGATAACCTAAAAAAATGAATGCCCACTTCCTGAGTCTGACTTATTCAGTTGTCCCCATACCTTGGCAAACTGGAGATTTGTGTATGTATCATCTCTGTTCCTCTATATGTTTTGTTAGAATGTCTTTCATTTCTGTGTTCCTCCAAGACCCATTTAAACACCATTTTCTCCATGAAGCCTCCCTCACCCTCCCATGGCCCCCAGCTAGATGTCATCACTCTCATCTCTGTATTCTGATAGCACTGAATTCAAAGAGAGTTTTTATGCTGTTTATGGTATTTTGCTCTCTATTATAGTGTGTTGTATATGTTGTGTATCTCTCCTAATAATGATGATGGTGAAAACAGCTACCATATGGTGAGATCTTTCTGTTTGCCAGTCTCTGCTAAACACTTTATACCTCACAATAACTGAGTTTATTATTATCCCATGTCTACAAATGAGGAAATTGAGGCTGAAATTACTATTGAATATCTGTTACTCCGTTAACAACTTCTTAAGGTTGTGAGTTGAGGGAGAATGGTGGAGATTCACTTTTACCGAATATTTAATCTCTGGCTGACACTTGATGAGGAGCTTTTAGGTTTATTTTTTAATCATATGAGGTAAATGTTAAATCATTTCCATTTTCAGATGATTATAGTTCACTATAAACAAAGTTAAAAGACAAATAATAGACTTTAAAAAGATATTTACAATACATGTAACTAGCAAAGGATTGAGAGTTGGAATACAATCAGTAAGGAAAAAACCAATTCCCTAATTTAAAAAATGAGCAAAAGACATGAACAGGAAGTTTACTGAAGGGGAAACCTGGAATAAGCAAAAATACACGTAGTGATACTCAACCTGTAATAATTAGGGAAATACAAGTTAAAACAATGAGATACCATTTCAGACAGTGTTGGCAAAAGTTAAAATGCCTGACATCTAGTGTTGGTAAATGAGAATGCTCTCACAATGATGGATACAAAAGAAAATAACATACCACTCTGGAGAGCTATTTATGATGCAAAGATTATCATGTCCTGTGACCAGCAATCCCACTTGTAGATATATACCCTAGAGAAAGTCTCCCAGGAGGCATGTTCAGTGCCAATATTATTTGGGGAATGGATAAATTGTGGTATTTTTGTACAGCTGAAAATCATAAGGAGTTAAATGATCTTAGACATCTGTTATTTTTCCAGTAATTTTCTCTATGATTGGAATATTTAATAACTTAAGATAAAAGATATAGCAAAACCTAGATTCCAGACCATGTCTTTTCTACTGGAGTACTTATTAACAAATATTTATTGAATTAAACATTTATGTGCCCATTGGTAACAGCAGTCACAGTGTACTGAGTGCTTACTTATTGCTAGGTGCTACATATACTGTATATTCTTTTCTTCTTTTCCCCACAATAACTCTGCAAGGCAGAGATTGCTAGACCAGCCATTAAATGAGGATAATGAGGCTCTGGGAGGTAAAGTATGGTTTTTTTTCTTGGTATCATACCGATTCTCAGAAAGGCACTAAGTAGTATTACCTTTGTGTCTTGAAAGCATTAATGCTCCAAAACTTATAATCAGGAAATAACTTGTGCTCTCAGTTTAATATTAGTAATAAGTGAAATTAAAATGCTGTAAATGTTATATTGTCAAAGACATTCATATTTGCAAATTCCCCCCTTATAATTTCATTGTTAGATCATTGGAGGTGAGGGATCACTGCTTTGTTGGGAACGTGTGGCGGTTTTAAGTCTAGATGTTTTTAAGTCTAGATGTTAATAAAGTTGAGGGAGGAACTTATTTCTGAGAAAGAAATGAAAAGACATTGAGCTAAAACAGCATCTTTCTCACAAGGAGACGAGTGCCTCATCACACAGTTCAAGGTGCTCTGCAAGCGGTCTGCCTGTTGCCACCTCCCTGTGTCAGCAAAGCTGTTTTCTGTCCAAAGCCCTTGGCTTTCTTATTCTTGCCTCTGAGCTTTTGTATGTGTCATTTTCTCTGAGTAAAATGTATCTCTTAGCATCCAAGCTTAGGACTCCTTTTGTCAGGCTGCTACTGCTAATGCCTCATTTGAGCAATTCTTTTTTTTTTTTTTAATGTTTATTTATTTTTGAGACAGAGACAGAGCATGAGTGGGGGAGGGTCAGAGAGAGAGGGAGACACAGAATCTGAAACAAGCTCCAGGCTCTGAGCTGTCAGCACAGAGCCCGACGCGGGGCTTGAACTCATGAACTGAGAGATCATGACCTGAGCCAAAGTCGGAAGCTCAACCAACTGAGCCACCCAGGTGCCCCTCATTTGAGCAATTCTTATGACAGTCTCCAGACGGGGGACCCAGGGAAATTAGGGGAATTGAAGGTATTCTTGCATATCTGTTGTCCAGGTGGTAGCTGCATCTAGAAGGTAGGGACATCTCTCAGAGACCCCTTATCACAGCCTAGGAGTGTATGTAACTGGTGAGGCCCAGAGAAGGGGGCTTTTTGTGTGTCCTGCCCCTGTCCCCCTGCCCCCCACAACATTCCTGCACATCCACAGATCTAACAGGTAGGCATCTGGACCCCTGACCTCCTCCTACCCTTCTCTCCCATCTTCCTTCTCTCTGAAACTTGCTCTGTTTCTTTCAAACTAACCATTTCATAAAGCTTAACCTCTAGGGTCACTTTTCTCATCACCTTGCAGCCATTCTGTAACAAACACATACACTTCAGAATTTGTGACACTAATCTGATAGTTACTTGCTGCTGTGGAAATGGCAGAGGATCTAGAGTCAGGGCTGTCTCTTCCATTTCATGTAAGACCCTGAGCAAGTGTCTCTTGTCCCTCCCTGTTAAGCTCATGGGTTTGCTGGAGCTAGCCTGCCCTGGATCACAAAATCTGATTGTTTGGTTTTCAGTAATATTGTGAGCTGTTTTTTTTTTTTTTTTTTTTAACTATTCAAGCATCAGAATATTCCATTAACTTATTTCTTGGCCTCTTTTTTATTGTATTAAAATATACATAACATAAAATTTATCATTTTAATAGTTTTTAAGTCTACACTTCATTGCCATTAAGTACATTCACATTGTTGTGCAAACATCACCACAGTGCATCTTCAGAAGTTTTTCGTCATCTCAAACTGACACTGTGTATCCATTAAACATAACCTCCCCTCTCTCCTCTTAACCATCATTCTGTTTTCTTTCTATGATTGTGACTACTCCAGGTACCTCATATAAATGGAATCATGCAATATTTGTCCTTTTGTGTCTGGGTTATTTCAGTTAGCATGTTTTCAAGGTTTATCTGTGCTGTGACATGTATCAATTTCATTTTTTAAAGTCTGAATAATTCCATTCTATGTACATATCACATTTGTGTATCCATTCATTCATGGACCGATATTGGGGTTGTTTCTACCTTTCGAGTATTGCAAATAATGCTGCTGTGAACATAGGTGTTCAAATATTGTTCAAGCCTCTGCTTTCAGTTCTTTTGGGTATATGCCTAGAAGTGAAATTGCTGGATCATATGGTAATTCTGTGTTTAGTTTTTGAGGAATCACCATACTTTTCCACTACAGCTAAACCATTGTATATTGCTACATACAATGTATGAGAGTTCAAGTTTTTCCGTCACTGTTATTTTCTGTTTTGTTTTTGTTTTTTAATAATAGCCACTCTAGTGGGTGTGAAATGGTATCTCATTGTGGTTTTGATTTGCATTTCCCTAGTGATTACTGACATGAACATCTTTTAATGTGCTTTACTGACATTTGTATATCATCTTCAGAGAAATGTCCATTCAAGTCCTTTGCCCATCATTTAATAGAGTTGTTTGATTTTTGCGTTGAGTTTTTGGAGTTCTTTTCATGTTTGGATATTGATCCTCATCAGATATGATTTGCTAATATTTTCTCCTAT